TTCTTGCCTTCATCTCCCTGCAGTGTGAACTCTTCCCCCCTACCCTGTCACACTCACACACGCAGTGATGCAGACCTGGTCCTGAGCAATCTCTCTTCAGTTAATTGACAATAAGACATGCAGGGCATTGGCCTGGCTTCTGAGTGGTATGTGGTATTTGCCCTGAGGACTTATACAGGAGACAAACATTAGCAGTTATATTTTAATGAGATAAGTCTCAACTCGCAGGACCCAGTGTACATCAGTGCTATTGCTGCCAACCTGTACTGGGTTAAAGAATTGAGAGCAAGCACTTAGAGAAATCTTCATAACAATTTAACATTGTTGAGGTATTTGTACTATATTTTATAAAAATATCCATTTATAACAGATTAAATGGGAAACAACTAGTCCTTCGCCACAGATAGTTTATAGTTTGAGAAACTGGTTGTATAGATCACCATAACTTGAATTTTTTTTTTTTTTTTTGGTGGTACTAAAGATCCCCAGGGCTTCATGCATGCTAGGCAAGCACTCTACCACTAAGCAACATTCCTGGCCAATGAAAAAAATTTTTTGGAATATCTCATCTAATTTATTGATTGTGAAAGTAGTATGCCTTCATTGTGATAACTTGGAAAGAACAGAGAGGTTTTTTTCTTCTTTTTTTATAATAAACAAACAAAAAAAAAAAGTTAATGCACACAATCTGTCACAGAACTACTTGCTGCTCACGTTTTTCTCATTCTTCTTTCCAGGTTATATATGTGAATTTTTTTCTTATAAGAATGGGCTACTACATAACCTATTTTTAATTTTTTATATTGTGATTTTTTGTACTAATTAAATATTCTTTTATAAAGGGCTGGTTAGTGGTCCATCACCTAGTTGTATGATAATTTATTTATTTATGTACCTTTTCGTAGAGTTCTCTATTACTAGCACTTACTTTGTGATCTCATTTGGTATTTCAGATCATGCCTTAAAAGTTTTTGTGTAGACATTTTTGATAGTCTACACAAAAAGAGAATATATTTTCACATGTAGAAATACTAGGTCAAAAATGTGGACTATTTTAAGGCTTTGATAAATTATCCTTCAGAAATGTTGAACCAAATTTCAGCTACTGCAGTTAGTGGATGTATCTCACTGCACGAAGTACTCTTGGGATTGGTTCTTACAGGTGGGAAGATATTGAAAGACAAAGACAAGGACAGGAAAGAATGAGGGGAGCACTTGGGTAGAAGACGAGAAGAGCACAGATGTTATGGGACATGGAAAATGAGAAAAGTATACGATATTTTTAAGGAAAGAGAAAAGATGAAAAAGTTAAGCTAAAACCCAATTCACTGGGGCACAGAAAGCTAGTTTAGAATGGTACTGGGCATACCATTGGCTCTTGAGTAGGAGAAGAGAGTCCAGGGCTCAGCTGTGGGAAGACAGAGCACACAGTGCAGTCTGCATCATACCTCTCAATCCTCATTCTCACCATGCTCCGCCCACCTCTTGCCTTTTGTATGGCATTCCCTCTGTCTAAGCGCCCTGCTTTCTACCGAAACTCTACTCATCCATCAGGGACTATTTCCCAGTTCTTGCCTAGGTGCTTCCTGCTTGTTTACCTAGCACTCACGGGTAGGACTGTCCTGTTACCTTTGTTATAATGACTTGGTGTACTACTGTCTCCACCAATAAGTGACTCATTACTCTTCAGTGCCTACCATCATGTCTAGTAAATAGTAGGTATTCATATACACTTGCCGAAGGAATCCCAAGTACTTCCAATGTCTTGTATAACCTTATATACATACGTGCACCCCAGGCCAAATATATGTTCCAACAGAGTGGGACGGTAGATGTCTCTACTCAGTCTTTATTTCAGAGCCAGTTAGAGCATCATGCAGACTCCATGATGGAAGCCCTGCTCTTAGCCTTCTCATCCCAGAGAATTCCAGGTGCCAACTTTCAGAGTGAGCAGAAGGCCTGACTCTAGTAGTGTTTACAAGTCATAGTTGTTTATGAGAACTTTTACTCGTAATATTAATTATGAAATCAAGAAATTGGTGACAGATTTTAGACTTGGGGTTTGGAAGATGCCATATGTTGATGGGTAGAGTATTACTTTTAAAACTTAAGAACAAAAACTCTTCTCAACTACACATTATTAAATGTTGACACATTTCTAGTCTCTCTTCTGTGTATATAGACTTTTATTTTTAAGTATGTAAATAATGTATGAATACATTATTCTTTAAAAGCTCAAAAATATTATAAGTAAAACTTAAGAATTCTTTGACTTTCATCTCATACCCCATAGTCTTTAAAATTTTTTKAAGTAGAACCTTTTAAAAATGATATTATAAATTTAAGTCCAATATTCATTCATTAAATATATAAGTATCTATATCYTATGTGCTGGGGACAAGCAGTGAGCAATATATTAAAGGCCCTTACTTGCATGAAATAATCAAATAAGATAACTTGAAATAGTGGCCACTGCCACTCTTTATCATAACACAGGATAAAAGAATAATGAATAGGGTATGGAAAGATTACTACTACTTTGGGGTGGTGGGCGATGACCTCTTAGAGAAAATGCTGAGGCTTAGTGATGAGAAGCATCAGCCATGATCAGATGTGGGCCCAGACCTGCCAGTCACGGACACTGTTGGTGCAAAGACTGTGAGGCCATCATGGCCCATGTGGTTGAGGTGCAATGACTCAGGAAGAGTGCTGCATGGTAGGTAGAAAGGCAGGCAGGGGACAGATTGTGGTGGCCCTGGGGGCTCTTGCATACTCTTCTAATGGTAATTGATAGTCAGAGGAGGTTTTTGTAAAATAGTTGATACATAATATTTTAATACCCAAAGTAGATGAAAGCAAAGTGCTGGGATTAAGCTGAAGTGAAAAGCCAGGATTGGCATCTTCCAGATAGGAGGTGCTTGGAGTACCTTAGCCTGATAGTTTGGATACCTTATGCCTGGGACATTTCTAACAGGTAACTTGGTCTGGAGACAACACAGCCAGGGCCTCTATCCCCATTTCTCCCCATCCCAGACACTGGGGTGTCTTCCTTAATCTACCCTAAGCTTCTCCCTGTTGGCTTCCACCTTGGAGGTGCCACACCTCTGATCCTGTGTAGCAGGATCTGAAATCAATTCCAGGATAGATGTGGACCTCTACTTCCCCCTTGGGTCTTTCCTTGCCTTCCAGGAAGTGCCCACAGTAGTGTTAGCCCTGTCTGTGAGGACACGCTGTGGTGGGTCAGTAATTGTCAGCATGGTGGGTGACATTAACTGCATCTCTGGCAGGCAGTGCTCTGTGCTCTGAGGGGTGCTCAGCCTTCCTGGTGGCTTCCCCAGTGAGGTAACTTGTCCACAACTCGGAGAAATGAGTGCAATCAGGACCCAGCCACAGCTGCTTTCTACTCAGGAGAGGCTATTGCTGACTGTGACTCCTGTTGCTTGTGGGATGATTCCAGACTCATCAGCCCCACTGTTTAGTCTGTCTCTCTGCTGTTTCTCCAGGAACTTCTGCCTTTGCTGTGCCAGCTTCCCTGCCAGAGGTGTTTTTCTCCTCCTCTGCTCTTTCTAGCCCTTAAAGAGACAATTCTCCTTCCACATTTTTTTTTTTTATTAACTCTGTTTCTTTTTAAAAAATAAAAATCTACAAAAAATAAAACACAAAGAAGGCTCATTATTAAAACTATAGCATGAAAAGAATGTCCCCCTTTTTTGCCTTTTCCCAGTTCTGTCCCTCTCAGAGTTGGAATTTGCTGTGTACCTTTCCAAACTCTTTGTTATGCATTTACATGTAAATGTTAGTGTGGGTTTTTTTTWAAATTGTTTTTATGAGATTGTTTTCAAAAATATTCTCTGGCATCATGCTGAGGACATTATTCTTCTTTGACTTGCTTTTTCATTTGATGGTATCACTTAGAAAGGCAATATTTATAGTAGTAGCTTAAAACAAACAAACAAACAAAAACCCTTTGTAGTCATTAAAAACATTTTTGGGGTAAAAACTCAAAAGGCTGTAAAGTGAAAGAAATACTTTTCCAACTTCCTTCCATTTTTTCTTAAATTTGGGGGGTTACTGTTGTTAATACTTTGTTGTATATATTTATTAATACAAACACTTTCTTTAAAACAGGTGATCCTATAGTATTTAGTATGTGTACTATATGGGATCTAGAACATTTTTCCTTATCTACATATATGGATGCCTCGTTCTTTTCGGTGAATGAGTAGTATTCTTTTGGGTGAATGTATTATTTAGCTATTTTCTTATTGGTGAACTCATTCCATCTTTTCTATTTGAAAAATTCTGACACTTTTGGCTCATGTTAAGTCCCTTTGGTTTTGACATGAATTGAAATTATTCAACATGATCAGCATTTATTGAATGGCTCCTTTTTTCCTAGCACTGGGCAGGGCTTTAGGGCCACAAAGTACTTTAATGCACGATGCCTCCTGCCTGCTTTGGGTTACCGTGGTTTAATAGGATCTTCACATGCTTGAAGAACGAGATTGTGACACATGTCAGACTGACTTCCTCCATTATTCCTTAGCATATAGATGGTATTATTAATTCCACCTAGGGAAGGGAAGGGAAGGGAAGGGAGAAATTGGAATTGGATTTTAAAGGATGAATGAGATCTCCTGGGGGGAAGGCAGAAAAAGTCATTTTTTATAGGGAGAATAATATGAACAAAATAGATTGCGGGAAAAGGAACGTGATGTACAAAAAAATGGCCAGTGGCTCAGTGTGGTTAGAGCATGTTGTGGGTGGAGTGTGTGACGTTGCTTGTTTGCTCAGCAGTTGATCACAGCAAGCACTTGGCAAGTGAATAGAAGGATATGGGCTCTCTGCCCAGCTAGACTCCCAGCCCTCTTGGGACCACCCTCTGTTTCCTGAAGAGTCCACATGTTGCTGCCAGCTCAGGGGGCTCTTGAATTGGTCTAACTTTTCAAAATGTTCTTTGTCTCTTGCCATCTTAACCATGTCTTGTCCTCTCTCCACAGAGTTTAGTCATATCCAGAAAGAGCACAGAGTTTAGCCATGGCTCCCAGGAAGAGAAGTGGACGGGGGATTTCATTCATCTTTTGCTGTTTCCGAAATAATGACCACCCAGAAATCACGTATCGACTGCGAAATGATAGCAATTTTGCGCTTCAGACCATGGAGCCAGCATTGCCCATGCCCCCTGTGGAGGAGCTGGATGTCATGTTCAGCGAACTTGTGGTGAGTCCTAGATTTCTATGGCATTGGAGGGAGCCAGGGAGGGAGAAGAGGAGGGGGTGTGAATGGGTTCTTTTGGTTTGCCATGTACTTCCTTTTCTACTGAAATGGCCCTCGTCCTCTCTGTATGCCTGTACCTTCATAGTCAGCAATGAGCTGTGGAGAAGGAGGAGATAGAGGGTGGCATTACTACATCCAAATACTTGCTCTTCCTAATTCCTCCTCATCCCACCTAGTCTGTACTTGCGTGTATAAATAATTCCTTCATGTACTTCACACCTTCTGGGATTCCCCACTGCTCCCATACCCCCACTTCCAATGCATAGTATTAATAATGTCTTGTTAAAAACTAGTCGTTCTTCCCAACTTGTCCTTGATCCTTTGTGAGAGACATTATTACTTAAGCACTGTATCATTATTTAGCCTAATGATAGGATTGGAATAATAACTGTTGTGGGAAACTTTTTATAGATGCTATCATAGTTGGAACACACTCTCCTCAAATGAGGTGATGTGTCAAGTGTGGGACCCATTTATGTAGAGATGAGAGTGGACTCTTCAGCTTCACTTTCAGGCATTGCAGAGGACACTGTGGCATAGTTTAAGGGGGACTGATATGGGGATTAGGGAGACCCTGGCTCTAACTTCATCTGCATAGGTACAGAAAAATCATGTKTTTTTTTTTTTTTCTAAGCCCATTTTATGGAAAATGGAGAAAATGGTACTCCCTCCTAGGTTTAATGTAATGTTTAAATGAGAACTATGCACAGTGGAGAGTAGCCCAGTGTCTGGCTCTGGCAAGTGCTCAGGAAAATGTTATAAGGATACCATATCCTCTCTAATCACTACTGATGTTTTGTAATRGAGTCAGTCCTAATCAGACTTAGATTGTTCAACAGTCCCAGACAGTGCTAGCATTTTGCATGACTCTTAGGTTAAGTAAGTGAGCTCTGTCCCTGCCTTCCATAGGTGATATGGGAACTGATCATATGTCGCTCCAGCTCTTACAGACCAGGATTCACTTATAAAACAAAAGGAGAAGTCAATTTGAGAGAGTCTGTGAAGCTCATGTTTGAGTTCTGGTGACCAGAGTAATGGGTCTATTTCCAACCAGAATTGGTTGAAATAAAGAAGAGATGACTCGTGACAGTACGTTTGTACTTTATGATGTTGAATATTTTCATCGTTTAAGGAATCTGTCCCCTCTCCATTCTCTATCCATTGCAGAACTTTATTCTASGTATCAATGAGGAGGTCAAAATAGAAAGTTAGAATTTGCCCCCAGAKACCTGACAGTTTCAGTAGCAAGGGGACCAATGATGAAGAAGGTGTAGTGCCACCAAAGGAGTAAGCACTATACCTCTACACAGATTGTGTGCATGCGTGTTGTGTAGGACAAGGCGACGAAGTGGAGGAGACTACGTGGAGGAGGTGAGCTGTCGCAGGAGTCAAAAATGAGTCARGTGCAGGGGATCCATGTTACTAGCTGTCTCCATCATCTTAAAGGAGTTCTGTGTTGTAGCAAAACCTCTGTGGTTAYAGCAGCAAAGTCTCTTGCTAATGCTGCAAATCCTCCTTGTGCCAGCTGTGGTTCTGTTCCTTGCCATCTTCTATCCAAGAGGAATGACAGATATGGCAACCTAGACCTACTAGTGAGCTCCAAGCGTATGCTTGAAAGCAACATGTCTCTGAGCCCTCATGTCATTGTCAATGCAGCTCACATAGCCACACTTGACTACACAGGTGTCTTCCTGCAGGGACTGACATCACAGGTCACATGGCCAAGCCTGAGGTCATTGGGGTGGGTGGAGAACACATAGTCCTCTCCCAGGGAGGGGCAGTGAACCACTATCATGATGGCAGTCAAGGAGGACATCAGAATGCATTTACAGGGTTTTTAAAATACTTTACTCAAAGTACTTTAAAATTGAAAGTCAACCTAAGGAGATGGTATGGCTCATAGCTGAACACATCCTCAGAGGCACTGGAGCCAGTGGGTATCCCATATCCATTTCAGTCACATTCTGTTGGCTCCCAAAACGAGACCAAAGCAGGAGCCCATGCGGTGGTAGATCTTAAAGACATCTCGCTGTTTTGCACTCATAAAGGAGAAGAGTCCATTCTCTGTTCCTTACTGATGTCTCTATTCTGTGTGAAAATTGCCTACAGCTGTTAGTTGTTAAAAACCCAATGCCAAACCAGAACTTTGAGCCAAACCATTGGAAAACAAATTATCTTGAGGTTTGTATCTGTCCTGGTGAGTGACGATGGATTTTTGTCTAGTCCTGACTTTAGGGACTTAGACCACAAATCCTTCCAACTGCCAGGGGGAGGCTTGGGGCAAGAGAGGTGAGCTCAAAACCACTGGACACTCCTGCTCTGGGTTCCACTGAGCAGTTGCAGGAGCAAGGCTGCCTCTTCCCACGTACAGGAGAGGGAGTGGTGGCAAAGAGTGCCAGGGCTCTGGAGTCTGACGGCTCTTCTTGCTGCTCTTCAGCCTAGGGAGATTTCCTGCAAGGTGGGCTCTGTTTGAATCTAAGCTTGTTTCTTTGCCTATAATATGGGGGCAATACTACCTCTGATAGGATTGGTGTGAAGATTAAAGAAGATAACTTCTTTAAAAAGGCTGGCACCTAACAGATACATTATTCCCTACATCCCAGTCCAGCAGGAGGGATGAGAGAGATGTTGTTGTTGTTTGTTTTTCTGGGCACAACACTCTAGGCAAATGCCCCATGTTTTTCCTTTTCTTTAAAGCAAATCTTCTTGCTGTGAGTGGGCCACTGTGGGTCCTAGCTTGCAGGCTGCTTCACCTCTGCTTTTGTTGGAAAACCTCTCATCAGAGCCAGCTATTGTAAGCTGGTTTCCTTTGCCTCCTCTGATGAGTCACTCATGACATTTGTAAAAAGTGATAGCAAATGGATTTCTTTCAGAAGTGCTTACTGCAACCTTATCATTTCATTAAAAGAGTAAGCCTGGTTAGGAAGTCGGCCATGTGAGAATCTTCTTAGAAAGGGAGCCAGTTCTGTAGCAGGCTCCCTGCCACAGCAGGGGAACCAGAATTCATAGTCACAGGATGCAGTGGTTTCTGGGGGTCCTAGTTCCACATCCTGCCTGTCTTTTAAATTAACAGCTTTATGGAGACATGATTGATGTACATGGAATCTACTTATTTAAATTGTGCAATTCAGGGGCTTTYGGTGTATTCACATAATTGTGTAGTCATCCTCAAAATCAATTCTGAGACATTTTCATCATCCTAAAAAATAACCATCATGTCCATAAACCTTCACTCCTCATTGATCCCCAACCTGATCATCCCCTGGTAACTACCAATCTCTTTTCTGTCTCTAGTAATTTGGAGACAATTCATATGAATGGAATCATGCAGTAGATGGTCCTTTGTGACTGTCTTCTTAGCATCATGTTTTCATGGTTCGTTCATTGAAGCATGTAGCAATACCTCATTTCTTTTTATTGCCAAATAGCATTCATTGTATGGACATATTACATTTTTAAATCCTTTAGGCATTGATGGACATTTGGGGTTTTGTCAGTCTTTGATTATTATGAAGAATTCTGCTGCAAACATTCATGTAAACGTCTTTGCATGGAAATATGTTTTTAGTTCTTGTGGTCATATTCCTAGGAGTGGAATTGCTGGTCCTTGTTTAACCGTTGAGAACTGTCAGACTGTCCCAAAGTAGCTGTAGCATCTTACATTTACCCCAGCAACATGGACATTTAACCCACTAAGCTATATCTCCAACCCTTTTTCTTTTTTATTTTGAGGCAGAGTCTCACTAAGTTGCTTAAGCCCTCACTAAGTGCTGAGGCTGGTCTTGAATTTGCCATCCTCCTGTCTCAGCCTCCTGAGCTGCTGGGATTACAGGCAGGCACCACTGTGCCTGGCAGCACTTGTTCTTATTTATTCCTTTTAAATTGATTAACCAGCTGCATTCCAAGCTGCTTAACAGTTCCTAAAGGACTAAGGACATATAATGTAGGGATTACTTTTTTTGTGTGTGAGTTTTCAGATAGAAATAAAGTGTCCTGCTAAGAAATACTAAAATATTTGGAATATTTACAAATAAAACATTAAATTGAGTATCTGAATAATCTCTGTTGGCCATACATTTTATGCCTTTTGATCATTAATTCTTTTCTTTCTGTATTCTCTATCCTGCCTCCTCCTCCCCTCTCTACTTCTTCCTCTTTGCTTTGTGCCTTAGTCAAAATAAAGAACAATCTGAGGCTGATTCTTTAAAATAGGATTCAGCTATATTCTTTCCTTTACCAGAAGCACTGAAAGGTCTCAGGTTATCCCAGCCAACATATTTGAAGAGTCCTAGGCTTGACAACAGTCTAAATTGTCCTCATTAAGCAACTTTTTGCATCTCAATATTAGCAGTAGCAGATTCCCTTTTGGGTGAACAGAGGAATATGTCATTTGTTGACTGACTGTTTTGATGTGGATGCATGGTAAGGGCCTGCCTATGCTAGATCCTGAGCAAACCAGACACAGTTCTTGATGACACTGTAGAGTTGAAGGTCTAGTAGAGAAGACAGGCACCTATATATGCAGTCTCATCAACTGTGATCCAGTGCTATGAGCGGGTCCACTCAAGCCGGACATTTTGTTAGGAAAGAGTCTTTATTCCCCCCCCTTTTTTTTTTCATGAGGAGAGAGTTTTACTGGAATAACACTCCAGGCCTCTCTTCCAGCTCCTACTTTTCTTTGTGGAACTCAGTTCCTCCGCCTTTCTGTTTTGCTACAAGTCCACCTGATTTCAGAAAACACACAGTCTTTGACCCTTAATGTTATACATTCCACACTAATGATCCTCCTCAAAAAGTTCTGCAGTTGTCTGGCCATCCCTGCAACTAGTGGGTGAGTGTCTGATTCAGCGTAGAAATCTTCATTTGTCTGTAGATGAAAGTTGGGTTCTCCAATGCAGCTTTCATGAGTGAGAGAAAGGTATTTTGATTTCCATTTGCTTGAT